TAACTGCAGTTAGGATGGCATGTGTGAACATGACAAACAGAGCATTTCTGTATAGCCATTGTTTTGACCTGCAAGTGTTAACCATTTCCCTGCTCTAGGGTGGAAGCTTTTTCAGATGTTAGGCATTAGTTTACAGTCCCATTCATGTTAAAACAGAACATTCAAGAATACAAAGAGTCTCTTGCAGTGTTGTGTCTTTCTCGCTTTAAAGCAATATGCTGTTTGGTTGCCTACATCACTATCTATTCTTAATTTCTTAGAACAGTATTAGGAACTCACAGCATATCAGCTTTCAGAGGAACAGGCCCTGAGAAATAGGGGTTAACTGAGGTAGAAGTATATTTCCATAGTCTTGCCAGGCTGCCACTGAGAATAACACTGATGTGTTTGGCAAGAAATGCTGTAGTGGTTAGCTTCATTCAAATGTCAAGCCAGCAGTAACCTGTAGAGATCATTTGTTATGCTATATTCACATTTTGAGTTCTGTGTTCATGTTCTAACAAATGAAAAAGTTCTCAGCCTGATTTAAAAAGATTGTAAAAACTTGAAATGCCAAAGAAGGCCTTTCAGTAGAAGTTAATGCAGTCCATAATATGATGTAGTTACATGAAGCACTAGGTGTTTGATTGTTTTCCTCTGATTGATCAGCGATTATGAACTACATAACTGTTGAGATCTGTCTGTTCTGCTCAACACAAGACTGATTCATGAAGTTGTCATTGTAGACCCTGTGGTGGTTAATCAGTTTATGTCATAGTCTTTGTAAATGTCTGATCCAGCTGATCTAAATTAGTAGTACTGTGTTTTCAGACGGTTGTGTTTTCAGAGTGATGTCTGTTACCCTTCCTTTGTGTCACTCTTCCCACGTTTCCGTTTCCTGCCCATAATGGATTCCTGTATTGGAGCCCTCATGCAATGGGCTTGACTTCTGAAGCGCCCTTTGTCACAGTACTGCAGGACTGCAGCCTGACTAATAAAACATATCTGGAATTCTTCCCATGGTGCTGATCTCATAGCTTTTACACATACTCTTTCGACAGGCTGACAATTGCTTAAATCAGATGTGATCACTAACACAGTTAGTACTCTGATATGTTGTGCAGTATAGGTATTACGGTTTATCCTAACACTTCCTTTTAAACGTTGTTCTTGAACTGATTCTGTGGTGTGAAGGTCAGTTATACCGAATCACTTATTTTTGTCAAATCTTAGATGCATAGCAAATATCTTGTCTTGAGTTGGAGCAGTGAATGCAGAAACGGAGGCAGAGGCCATGTGTGAATAATCTCATTCAGTGTGACATGAAGAATGTGCCAAGTCACAGTTTCTCTCAAGGATTCTGTGTCCCCTCTGTCATATTTGGTTTTGCCACTCGCTTACCCTCAGATGAACCTAGAGCGATCCTTTCCTTCAAAGGTTTGAACCAATACTGTATAAATTATTAAACTGTGCCATTGCCTTGTTTTCTTTCTGTAGACAGTAATTAATAATGACATGATGATAATAATGACATTTTAATGATGTTAAATTATTAAATAATATTCCATTTTTAATAATGACCTTTTTTTTTTCTTGAGTAAGAATCAATGTGTAATCAGTTGTCTAAAATGCAAGAAGTCCCTAAAAAAACTCAGTGTTTTGAGGCTTCCCATAGTTCTGCTTTATGATGCGATTTAACAGTAGCTATTGTTGTATGACTGGGCTTGACAGGTTACAGTATATGAGGTTAGGAAAAGCAGCAATAGCAGAGCTGTCTAACATATGTCAATCATTTGTGTGCTTTGCATTACTGTTTATGTAGGATATGAAGTGCACATGACTTGCTTGTGTAACAAATGAGTTTGGAGAAAAGATCTCAGTTCACTTTAATGTGTTAGTTTGTTTGGTCTAGTCTCTGTTGGTTTACCCTTCACATAAGGGCATCAGAGGAATTTAAAGATCCTTTGGTGGTTACATGTTTGTGTGTGATATCCTACTTTTAGAATATCCCTGTTTTGTTTTCTATCTCACTTTCATAATCTCTTGCCCACATGCCTTCTTCTTTTCTTTGCTTCATTCTTCTCTCATGAACACAACTGTGGGTATCTAGGGGAACGTTCAGCCCCAGTGATGTACGGTTTTAGACCGAAAAGACCGGTTTATGGTACCACATTTGCTGACAGTAAAATTCTTGGCAGATCTATTAGCCTGTATAATAAGAGGTTGAATATAATTTATTGAAAAGCTATATGCTTGCATGCAAAGAATGTGTTAAGTATATATTTGTCTAAGTGAGATGTTGAGGGAATTGTTTTAAATGTGTGTGCCACACTCTCTCTCCATGAAACTATACTTCCTTACCTGTGTGCTTGTGTGTGTGTGGCATATGACATCCTGGCTGCTTGTTGTGACATCCTTCCAAGCAGCAGCAAAACAACATTTTCATGTGTTTGTCATGAATGTTATTTGTGAATGTATAGTTTGTGTGAGCAAATGTGTTTTTGGCCATCATAATGTCTGTGTTCCTTTGACACTGAACTTTGTGTGTGTGTGTGTGTGTGTGTGTGTGTGTGTGTGTGAGTAGCAAGCAGATGTCTGTGGTGGACCACATCATCGAATGTATAGTTTGTGTGAGCAGATGTGTTTTTGGCCATCATAATGTCTGTGTTCCTTTGACACTGAACTTTGTGTGTGTGTGTGTGTGTGTGTGTGTGTAACATTATCAGTAGCAAGCAGATGTCTGTGGTGGACCACATCATTCTCCATGCTGTCATGGACTTTACCACTGAGCTCAGATGCCTGGCTGAAAACACACACACACACACACACACACACCCCTCCCTCTTGTCTGTCTGTACCCCTTTATTTGCAATCTCTATATTTCACTCGGTCTCCTTTGCGTATTTAAATGCACACGCACGCATATACACACACAGGGATAGTAACTACAACAGAACACATCATAATATAGTGAAAGACTTTTGGTCTTTTCGTTGTCAAAACAGATCACCAAAACAAATCATTATTAGAAACCCATGTATTTGCTAAAAGCCAGAAGCTTCTCATTTGACGTGCTTCATGACGTAACATCAAGGGATCCAGTGTGTCTGTCTGTACCCCTTTATTTGCAATCTCTATATTTCACTCGGTCTCCTTTGCGTATTTAAATGCACATGCACGCATATACACATACACAGGGATAGTAACTACAACAGAACACATCATAATATAGTGAAAGACTTTTGGTCTTTTCGTTGTCAAAACAGATCACCAAAACAAATCATTATTAGAAACCCATGTATTTGCTAAAAGCCAGAAACTTCTCATTTGACGTGCTTCATGACGTAACATCAAGGGATCCAGTGGCCAATGATATTCAATTCTCGTGGGACATTAACTTGGGTACATAATGTACAAATATTCACTGTTCATGACCAGTCTGGTTTTGTAAATCAAGATGATCTCGGTGTTCTTTTGAAATCATTATTCATGCCAGATATTGTGGGATAAACATCTGCCAAGTTGAGAAAGCTTTAAAAGTTTAGTAATGCGTATTAATATTAACATATGAATTTAACACAAATTAGAGCCTTAATACCTTTATGTGTGCAAGACACTGTTAGCTGAGTCTTCTTGTGTGTGCTGCAACCAAATTTCATAATCGGTTACGATTATGTAGTGTGAGCCCGGCTTTAGACCTTTTGAACCAGCAGGTTTAAAGTTTAGTTGCATTGCAAACGCTTGTTTTCAAATGATGCTATTCCCAGGCATTGAGGAATGACTGTTTATTAAGCATCTCTGCAAATTTTCCAAATAAACAGTTGGCAAAAGATGGTGAATCAGTCTGAAAGTAGAAGAGAGGCTGTTTGTAGCACACATTGCGTGAGTGTATCAACTTGCATTAGCTATTTGAGAAAGATCATGTGTCTGCCGTGCCAGTTTCTTTCAATTCTCACAGTAGGCACAGGCTAACCAGCTGGACTTGAAAGATCTGAGCATGAATGTGTGTGTGAGCTTTAATGTTGTAATTTACACCACCTTAGTGATGGATGTACTTCCTCTTTCTTTCTATGTTATTTATAATGTACAGAACCAGTCAGAATTTAGATGCATACATGTTTATTAAAGATATCATGATATTAAAGACCTTGCATAAATGGATCTTTATTATTAACAGTTTTTTTGCATTTGTAGACGTAAATTGTGCCTATGAAGGTCTTTACAAAACAAAAAATTTAATTTCACACACCTTTTTAATGGATTAGTTGTTCCACATAGTGAAAGAAATGAAGGATTTCTCTTGAAGCTGGTTGAGAGAATGTGTAGGCACAGCTTTTTTCTAAAATATATGGAAATAAATAAAATCTGAAATATATTATATCTAAGAGTTTTGGTTTTCGTAGTATTCCCATGCTTCCATTTGTGTTTTTGCAGTTTTGATGTATATGTAGTTGCTCTAAGATGTGAAAAATGGTAAAGAATGAGTAGGTGTGTCTTTTGACTGGTACGGAGTACAACAAGTGTAAATGCTTAGAGAAAATAAAACTCTAAAGGTGTGTAATGGTTTTACTTGAATGCGTCATGACTATCCTGTCAGTCAAGTGCTGAACATGTGAAAGGCATTTATATGACAGGAATGACTGTTTACAGGTAGTCAGTGACCACCACCCCTCATTTCCTCTGATTCTGAATGATAAGCCAGTTAGAGAATTCCTAAGATCCGATGCCTAATGATGCCTTGTTTTTATCAATGCAAAAGGTTTGCTTGTGTTTACCACCACACAAATTGTACTGGTAGGATCTAGCTTGCTGAGTGAGTTACACTGAATCAGATACTGTGCCTTAGTCATACTGTGAAGGTCAATCTTTATGTCAGTAGGTATCTTGATATGGTGCGTTTAAGTTCACTTTGAGAATGTGTCACTGCAATAATAACAATCTTTGCCTCCTAGATACAATTACTGATGCCCTTGTCAGTTGACTGATAAATAACCAGTTTCCCCCCTTTCACCCTCTTATAGAGAAGTTGTATAATTCCCATGGTCCTGAGCTTCGGCGGTCCTTGTTCTCATTAAAGCAACTCTTTCAGGTAAGATCATGAAAAACACTCAACAGGTTTTTAAGAGAGAAAAATAAAACTCTAAAGGTGTGTATGGTTTTACTTGAATGCGTCATGACTAACCTGTCAGTCAAGTGCTGAACATGTGAAAGGCATTTATATGACAGGAATGACTGTTTACAGGTAGTCAGTGACACCACCCCTTATTTCCTCTGATTCTGAATGATAAGCCAGTTAGAGAATTCCTAAGATCCGATGCCTAATGATGCCTTGTTTTTATCAATGCAAAAGGTTTGCTTGTGTTTACCACCACACAAATTGTACTGGTAGGATCTAGCTTGCTGAGTGAGTTACACTGAATCAGATACTATGCCTTAGTCATACTGTGAAGGTCAATCTTTATGTCAGTAGGTATCTTGATATGGTGCATTTAAGTTCACTTTGAGAATGTGTCACTGCAATAATAACAATCTTTGCCTCCTAGATACAATTACTGATGCCCTTGTCAGTTGACTGATAAATAACCAGTTTCCCCCCTTTCTCCCTCTTATAGAGAAGTTGTATAATTCCCATGGTCCTGAGCTTCGGCGGTCCTTGTTCTCATTAAAGCAACTCTTTCAGGTAAGATCATGAAAAACACTCAACAGGTTTTTAAGAGAGAAAAAGCTATATGTGAGTGAGTTGGATAAGGACGATGAGATGTTACAGACAGGTTCTGAAGCCCCCTGCAATGATCTGAATGACCTACCCCTCCAACCCCTCGGAACCCCGATGATTACCGTTCGATGCAGACAATCACTGGTGTATTTAGAACATTACTGATAAATTCAAACGTGTTTTCGCGCTTTGTCTGACACTGAGCCAGAGACGCACTCAGTGCTTTTCATAGACTATATCACAATAATTCAGTGTTTTAAACCACATAAAATGTATTTTAGGTTTCAGACATTTAAATTCATTACTAGCAATAAAGACATTTGTTAAATGCATGGATTTGTGAGTTCGTTAAATACACTGGTGTCTAAGGAAAGCTGCAATAGCCTAATAATCCTTTTAATTAAAATCTGACAATGTGTTTTATTAACATAAAGGTTGTGTTGTTAAACATAAAGTTCACGCTGTTCTTCTCCTAGTGTTGAGGGAATTCAAAGGTGACTTACTTTTATGTATTTTTGGGAGAAATGGGTGAATTGACGTGATGTTAATCCAAAGATCCGATTCTCTGTATGAGCATTATAAAGTTTTGACATTTGACAATCAGAATCCCCTCCAGTCCCCCCCCCTGAGAATTATCCCCCCCTGAGTGACAGGCTTTATCTCTTCCAGATAATGTACTGTTATTACATTGGATTCTGAATTTAGTCTAAATTGCGAGGAAAATTAAGCACAAAATTAAATCTTGAGGAAGTGTCTCATAATAGGACACAGCTATACTGATACAATCCATCTTTACACTAATGGTGCACCCATATACACCCATATCAATGCTGACCTCAAACTACTTGAACTGTAGTTCATAAAACTGTATGCAGTTGTACACAGAAGCAGATCTTAATTGTGTTTTATTTTGAACAGGATGATAAGGACTTGGTTCCAGAGTTTGTGATCTCCGAGGGTCTGACGTGTTTCATTAAAGTGGGTGCTGAGGCAGATCATAACTACCAGAACTACATTCTCAGAGGTTTGTGCTCAACATCACGTCTTTACTGAAACATATGCAGAACTACTACAAAATAATTCATGCATGCCTCCATTAAAACGTTTAACATTGTTAGCAGGGTTATTGATAGTTCTTTCACTAATCATCATTGACATGATGACTTGATGTGTGTGTATATCTATCAGAGTTTCAAAATGCAGTCTAATATGGTGTATTTATTATTCATGAACACCACATATCTTGCATGCAGACCTCAAATAGCACAAAGGATTTTGCACATTTTTGGCTAAGTAGGCCATCTGTAACAGGAAGTTTATACTGGCTGGAATTAGACCAGCAAACAGGAAAGCTTTAAGACAAATCACTAGATCCTTAAGGATATGCCGGCACAGTAAACTCTGCTGTCCTGTTCCCAGCTCTCAGTCAGATCATGCTGTTTGTGGACGGAATGAACGGTGTTGTGAACCACAATGAGACAGTACAGTGGCTGTACACACTGACTGGCAGCCTGGTGAGTGACAGCAACACACACACCACAGCATCTGTAAGCACCGACCACAATATAGTATTAGTACACTGTTCCATCAGTGGCTGTGTATTAATGCACCTTGACATTTTAATACCGCATCATGCCAGCTGATTAAGAGTCAATAGATCCATGTTCAAAAGTTAATTGAATGTGATAACCATTTGGTTCCTGAGGGCTGGATTACATTTACTGTACATTAACTCATTGAGCAAATGCTTGTCTGCTAAATTATCCAAAGCAACTTACAAATGCTTTTTTTATAGCTCAAACAGAACAGCATAGTGCTAGACACATCGAAGTCGCTTTGGATTAAAGTGGCTGCCAAATGTGTAAATAAAATAAAAAAGGGAAGAAAAAGAAAAGTAATGCAGTTCAGCAAAACAGTCAGTTCAACTTAAGGCAATGTAAAATTAGATAAAAAAGGTTGGCCAGAAAGGTCCAAGCTAGTGCAGAGATGTAGGTGTGAATCTGGAGCAAATTCAAGTATTTTGATCTTTACTCGCAGCCTTCACTTATAATTATTAAAGCTAAATATTACTACTATAGTTTGCCAAATCTACCACAGAAATGTTTATTACTAGTTACTGATATTAAAATGGCCATAATAAACTGGCTGGTGCTGTTGTGCAACCATTTCAAGTTTGGGCCATTGCTCTTGCTGAGTTTGCATCTTTATAAGTTTAAAATATGTATGTATAGTTTTGGAAGTTTCTTATTGCAAAGTTAGTGTGAATCTGTTGACATGAGGTTTGTACACTTTTTACTGTAATGGATTCAGTCATCATTCAGGTGTCAGTTTGAGGTCATATCCTTCTGCATGAAATTAAAGAGGAAGTGAAAATGAGAATGGCAGGGTAATCAAGTAACTATCAGAAATAAAACCTGAACCAGACTGTTTCTTACAACAAACACCGAATACTAGTGGTAAATTACTGTATCGTTAGATCGTATGATTACGTTAGAAATATACTCAGCCTCATTGAGGTTTGATCCTGCCATCTTCTGTAAGAGGATGGTAAATGCTGCCTCTTTATAGCCTATTTTTCTCATTCCCTTTCTCTTCAGTCTCGGCTGGTTGTGAAGACGGCTCTGAAGTTGCTGATAGTGTTTGTGGAGTACACTGAGTCCAACAGTCCACTGCTTATTCAAGCTGTCAGCATTGTGGATGGCAAGAGAGGTTAAACACATTTAAACATTCTCTCATAATACTGACACTGAATCCATCATGTGCCGTTCATTCCTTTTTTCTGTCATTATCCTCACAGTAACTTTTTATAGAGAGAGAGCTTAAGGTTTATGTTATCTTTTTCAGATGTAAAGCCTTGGGCGTATCTAACAGAGATCCTGTCAGAGAAGAATGGATCAGACACAGAGCTGCTCATCTACACCATGACCCTCATCAACAAGGTAAACCACAGATTGCACACCCAAATCTACAACCGTGATGCACATCAGCACAATGTTGAGCCTAAATGTCCTTGATGTGTATTTATCCCTCTTGCTTCCCAGACTCTGTCTGCGCTTCCCGATCAGGACTCATTTTATGACATGACCGATTGCTTGGAGCAGCTAGGAATGGAAGGCATCGTCCAGAAACACATGACTAGCAGCGGCACCGAGGGTGACCTTAAACAACAGTTCATAATTTATGAGGTAAACTCCCAGTACACATCAAACACTCCATATCTCCAATATATAGACTTTTTAGTTTGGGGTCAGTAAGATTTTTATTTTTAATAAAGAAATGAATGCTTTTATTCAGCAAGGACACATTAAAATCATTTATATAGATTTCTGTTTAGAATATATGCTGTTCTTATGTACTTTCAATGAATCAAAGAATTCTGAAAAAACTATTACCGTTTCCAGCTCAACAGTTTTCAGCATTTGATAATAATAATAGTAAATGTCTCTTGAACACCAAAACAGCATATTTTAATGATTTCTGAAGGATTATGTAAAGACATGGCTGCTAAAATTTCATCTTCAGGGCCCGGTTTTTCAAAAGTAATCCACTAGGATTTTGGATAACGGATTTGATCAAATCTTGAAAATGTGTTTTTCAAAAGAAAAATCGGATTACATAATCAGATTAGATCACGTAATCCAATCTTGGTTTTGATCCGGATCAAACCTTTAGTTTGTTTTTTTTTTAGAATTTTTTGTAGGATTTGGATCACTTTGATCCAAAAAATCTGGATTAAACTGATCCCATCAGAAGGGTGGATTCAGCGTGGATTTCATGGCCAAAATGTAATGAAAACTTTAAAAATGTATCAAATAATACTATATTTGGATCATGCAGTATCTTACAAGATATCCTATTTATTCATAAGGTTTTAATTTTATTTGTTTGTGGAGTGGGTAGGCACTGTCTCCTAATATTACGCCATCTGGTCGGTTGGTTTGGAGGTCTCTATATAGAGCGCTCTCCCTCAGGATGCGTGCATCATGGACAGACCCAGGCCACTTGACAACGCAGTTGGTGATGATGAGGTCAGCATCACACACAAGTTGGACATTGATGCTGTGCCTCCCCTTTCTGTTTATAAACTCCCATTCATTCTCACGAGGTGCTTGTATATGCACATGTGTGCAGTCGATTGCTCCAATAGTATTGGGCATATTCCCCAAAAGAAAAAAGCTGCGCTTGG